TTTGCCAATCAAACTCTGATCATTTTTTCTAACACGTCCATATTTCTGCAGTTAAACTTGCCTGACTCTGCCTGTTCTCTATTTGTTTTAGCAGTGCAAAGTGCAAACTAACTTCCAGATGATCCAAACTGTTGTACGGTGCTACTGGATTTATAAATAACTGAGAGACCAGGCTAGAAAACACTTCTGCTCATTGAACTGGAGTCAAAGAGCAGCAGAGATTCTTTCAGGACGGAATGAGATTCAACAAATCAAATCAGGAGATCCAGATTTAAATAAACATCTAAAAACACCGGCCGATCCACAAGCTGTTCTGTGTGAAAGAGGAAAGAAAACCAGCAAAGAAGACCTGTATGAAGTGTGAGAACTCCAGTATCCTCTTTGTTTCATTTAATGATGATGCTTATTTTGGAGCTAAATGAATATGTGGTTCTGTACAAACCTATGAAGTGAGAAAATATGAATATTAAATAGGTCCTAAAATCTTGTGCTAATTATTACTGGCTTATTGCTGCCTAGATTTTATAGATTGCTTATTCAGTGTTTTAACATTTTGAGTGTTTCCTGTCAATCTTGGAGGAAATTAAACTGAATTGCAAACATTATAAAACAGCTGCAGTCACATTTGTCTGACTCCACCCCTTCAGTGTGGAGTTTTCAGGAAATTGAAAGTGTTGTGCAGCGCTCCTGAGCAGACTAAACACGGTGATCAGTAACAGGCAAGAAAAGAGCAAAACTCAGGAGTTCATCAAATTCCAAGTTTTTTCTAAAAAGGAGTCAGAAAGAGAGCAACAAGGACGTTATTCAACACTGAATTATACTCAACAAATCTAAGGAGGACTTCCTGCTGGGAAACATGTCTGACAGCATACAAACAAAAAGGAGAAGAACAGATCCACAAACTATCCTCTGTGACATGTGTGCAGAGGACAGGAAACCAGCAAAGAAGACGTGCATGAAGTGTGAGATCTCCATGTGTGTCCAGCACCTCCAGGCCCACCTGACCACACCTGTGTTACTGCAGACTCATCCTCTGACTGAACCCATGGATTTATGTGGGAACACCAAATGTTCTCAGCA